AGAACAGAAAAGTGCTGTAGGCCGCTCACCAAATGAAGACAAATACTCGTAAGCAGACTTATCCAAAACATAACTGATAGTAGAGGAACCTGTAATAAAATCTTTGATTTCCAGCGCTCCTAAACCTAAAAAGGATATGAAGAATACGCGTTAGAAAAGCAATACGGTCAGGAGAACGTCGAATTTTGCGATGTGTATGGAAGAAGAAGTGCATAAAACCACTTAGTTTTGTGCGAAAAGAATTGTATAGAAACTTTAGAACATTGCCAATATTGGCCCCTGGTCTTGATTTTTGTAATGAGCATTTTTACACCACTATTTTAGGTGTTGTTTCTTATCCTTATGTAATTAATGCGTTTACTTCCCGTAATCTTTAGCCTGGACCCCGTAATAATTATACACTACTGTGCATAATTAAAAGGATTCATGCCACTTCTAATCTGAATTGTGTTACCTGTAACCACTGTATTCGTTGCGCTCGTGAAAATCTGTCATTATAATAAATTTTTTTTTGCTATAAATTTTAAAAATTATTTTTCGATTTAAATTTGAAATATTACACGCCAGGTTGATTACCAGTTTGCTATTACATTTTCAAAAAAGGACAGACATACAAATTGTAATTTTCCAACTTAGAGGCAATTTGAAAAACCCTCAGTTTTCTTTTTCAAGTAAGAAAATAAGTCCGGTGAATTCAATCAGACCATCCATGTGTCCTTGCGACTTGCACTTTTCAACAATTAAGCAATTTCAATTTGTACAACTCCTTACCAAAACTTAATTACAACTGAACAGAACAAAGTTTCTTGTCGTATCAAAGAACAGATTACTTAGAACTTAAAATGTTTAGTGATTTTGAACAAACGAAATAATATTTTCAATTCGCAAATATAATTCGACTAATTTGGCCAATTTCTTACTTTTTACTTTTTATACACAAGTTGATAAAGTAGAACAGTTTAAGAAATAAAAAATTTTTAGATCAGCTAAAATTACTTTGCTATCTTCACTAGAGTTATAGTAGACAACTTCTACGATCAATTTGTTGCTCTTAAACAGGTAAATTTTTAAAGTAATCTTCAGCAAATGAAAGTAAGTGTAGCAGAAAAGTTTTCAGTCGCCAATGTTCGGCACTCAACGACATTACCACTTAAACAGTTTTCAAACTACAGATAAAACAAGATTAAAATCATTCTCCTTTACAAATTCAAAAACTTTTCAAGGGATAAGAACATAATTGTATCGTTTACAAAAAAAAAAGTAAAAAAAATAATAACATTTTTATTTCAAAAGTTCATACTAACATTGTACATTATAAAAACATCGTTAAAACGCCAGAATACTGCAGGTATTCTCAAAGACTTTCTCAAAAAAAAATTTTAAAAATCATTTTTATGCATAAATAATGCTGAATGAGCTAAAACAAATTGTGCCGCAGAGAAAAAACTTGTCACAGTTTTTTTTGGCCCATAAAAATAGAAAAATTAGAAAATTACAGGAAACATTTTGGTGTTGAAATGTATATACCTCATATACATTTGTTTACTTCAAATAATTACCGCTCTAGAAACTTTTACGCTCAGGACAATGTGAAGTGTCTGTAGCAATAATAGACAGACTTGTTGTAAACTTACGCTCGCATCATAGAATACCACTTAAGTCTTTCTGTAGGTTTTGCTAAATTTTAATAAAATTGAAACTTGTTCTACGTGTTATTAATACAATGCTATTCAGTAGTTAACAATTCAACAGTCTTTTTCAGTTAACACAATCAAATGTAGTTATGAAACAATGTAATGTGCAAAATGCTTTCTTTCCCGATCGTAAGAAGGTCGCCTAAACCAACGGCTATAACACTTTGTATCCAGTGCAGCGTTTCTCAACAGAATCGATAGGTCGTGCTGTCACAAAAAATTTGGAATGAAGGCCATCTGGGTGTTAATACTTTGAGCGAACAGTAAAGCTGTATGATTAAACCAGAGGCAGAAAAATAATCTGATAAAGGCGCAAAGAAAATTTTTTACTTAAAAGTCAAAAAAAGGTTACAGAAACAATAAAA